TTTTGCTGATGATACTAAGATATGTAACAGGGTTGATGTTCCAGGAGAGATAAGCCAAATGACAAATGATTTAGGTAAACTAGAAAAATGGTCAGAATTGTGGCAACTGACATTTAATGTGGATAAGTGCAAGATAATGCATCTTGGACGTAAAAACCCAAGGGCAGAGTACAGAATATTTGATAGAGTCCTAACCTCAACATATGAGGAAAGGGATTTAGGGGAGATTATTTCTGATGACTTAAAGGTAGGCAGACAATGTAATAGAGCAGCAGGAAATGCTAGCAGAATGCTTGGTTGTATAGGGAGAGGTATTAGCAGTAGAAAGAGGGAAGTGCTCATGCCAATGTACAGAACACTGGTGAGACCTCACTTGGAGTATTGTACACAATACTGGAGACCGTATCTTCAGAAGGATATTGATACCTTAGAGAGGGTTCAGAGAAGGGCTACTAAACTGGTTCATGGATTGTGGGATAAAACTTACCAGGAAAGGTTAAAGGATCTCAACATGTATAGCTTGGAGGAAAGACGAGACAGGGGGGATATGATAGAAACATTTAAATATATAGAGGGAATCAACACAGTAAAGGAGGAGACTATATTTAAAAGAAGAAAAACTACCACAACAAGAGGACATAGTCTTAAGTTAGAGGGACAAAGGTTTAAAAATAATATAAGGAAGTATTACTTTACTGAGAGGGTAGTGGATGCATGGAATAGCCTTCCAGCTGAAGTGGTAGAGGTTAACACAGTAAAGGAGTTTAAGCATGCGTGGGATAGGCATAAGGCTATCCTAACTATAAGATAAGGCTAGGGACTAATGAGAGTATTTAGAAAATTGGGCAGACTAGATGGGCCGAATGGTTCTTATCTGCCGTCACATTCTATGTTTCTATAGTGGAGGAAAAAAATGATGTAACATGGAAAAAAACAATAAAAAGGAAAACCGAGAAAGGGATCTGCACTAAGCTACTGAGCTAACAAAAAAGCAGCAAACCAACGAAAAGGGAATCCTTGAACCCTTAAAATGTTGATTGAAAACAGAAAAAAGGCTATTCCCCAAATATAACACCGTAAAAACGCAAAACCAGAAAAGATAAGTGCATTGAAAAAAATAACAATATCAACGATCCAAAGTCTTATAAATTAGATACCACTGTAAATAGGCCAAAGCACAACAAAGGTTTGCAGGTAGACATCCTGCTGAAATTTGGCATCTTATGTCTAGTTTTATTGCATATGTTGATAATAGCAATGTGTCCGCTGACTGGCCACATGAATATGTAATTGTTTGGTGCCACATTTGAACTTTTGTGTATCTGTGTAACCTATAAACATCCCAGCCTGCCAGAATGTTTTTTTTTTTTTCTCCTCTCCACTTGATAAAGCCCTGTGTGGTAAAACGTGTCGTGGGAACTATTTTTTTGAATTTTATAAGGCTATTTGGTTACTTTGCTTTATGTATTGTGCCCTTACCTTTGTTGGTTTTACTTTATTTTAACTGTATTTTCTGGCATCCTGGTCATTACCTGCACAGCAACAAAAGAATCCTGGGTGGGAATCATACTTTTGGCATCTATTACGTAGAGTGGTTTGTCTGCTCTATTTATTGGGAGTATTTTTTACATATTTGTTTTACAAAGGCAGAGCGCACTATTGTTTTGCCTATTACTACCTTCTAGGTTGCATGGTCCCTTTCCTTCTTAAAAGGAGCTGGTCATGGCTCTACCAAATGTGAGTAAGCAGTCATTATTTTAAGCACATATTCTATTGGATTCCTTTGTGATTTCTTTTTACATATTCCTATGGATTCTATTAATATTACCAGATCTGTAAACTTTTTTTATGCTTTCATCTTTTTTGGGTTTTGTGTTATTACTGTAGTTACAGAGTGTGTTAATATATCTTGCGGTGCGGGGTTTTTTCTGCCCCTTATGAGTGTGCGTTTCTTTACTTTCATATGCATTTGTCTATCCTGGGTATTTTAGGATTGACAACCTTAGACACAACTGATATCTGCAGTCAGCCCATAGGACATTGCCGATTTGTCATAGCCACGACTATGAACAATAAACGGAAATTGCTCAGAACCAACAGAGAAGACTTAAAAACTAAAATACTCCTTGCTTTACATACGATTGGGCTTGTCCCTGCCTCCTATTCTATCAACCCCAGGGAAGGTTCCAGGTAGCCTCCATACCTAAAAGATCCCTGTCATTAGGAGTGAGCCCAATTAAAAAATGAGAAGAAAATCCTTGCTATGGAGGTTTATTTAAAAAATTGTACATGGCGTATTCTGACCAAATTCCGTGACAAGGACTAAAATCTCTACACCAGGGTGAAGGGGCACGGCAATAAAATGAAGTTAAAGAAACACTGGACGCATTTCGCATCTCAGACTTTATGAACATAAGTTAAACCATTACCATGTTTAAAAAGACTGGTGGAAGTAACCCCTGCCATTCTAATTCGTTTAATGTTCTGGGACAATCTCTGTGTGCCCTCATTCTAATTTCATGCTATTAAACCTCTACCTGCAGGGGGTTCAAAGCTAAACAAGCTTCTCTAAATACATTTTAAGAGATATTCCGAAGGGGAAAACACAAAACAAAATTTAAATCCAGGGTTGAAAATAAATAAATCTTTACCCATTACATGTATTTGATCCATCTGAAATGTGTCCAAGCGATTGGGTTAGGCATTATTTCAGCCAATGTCATTTGTATTAATGGATACTGTTCCACTCGTTATGTATGGGATTCCAAGAAGTATCATTGCAATTTCTGCAATACTTGGTCAGATACTGAAATATATACGAATAATTTTATTGCATATAATGGGGATTAACTGAAAGGCAAATAGGAGGGTTGTATTGGAGAAATTGAATTAGGTATGCAGTTTTTATTAAAGAGATATCAGTGCTATAATTCCTGCAACATCCATAGGAGACACACATTGAAAAGCAATTCTAGAGAGTTTGTTCCGTCTAGTCTGATCATACAGAAGATCTACTGTAGCTCAAATTGCTAAAAAACAAAAAACAAAAAACACAATCAAAAAACAACGTAATGATGGGCATAGGAGAAATGTGTCAGAACAAAAAGTGCAATGCAGTTTGCTGGGTAGCTGTATACCAGTCAGAATGCCCTGTCCATGGCCAAAAGCATCGTCAATAGGGATGTGAGTGTCAGGAATTGGACCACGGAGCAATAAAAAGTTGCCTGGTCTGATCAGGTTTTCGTTTGTTTACTGGTGGAAGAGATGGCAGTAGGATGTACTATAGCAGGGGTTCTCAACCCAGTCCTCAGGACCCCCTACCAGTCCAGGATTTGGGGATTACCTGGGTGTGTCTCAGGTGTTTAGAAAAAGGGAAAAAAACACCTTAGATTCTAAGGTGTTTTTTTTTCTTTTTCTAAACACCTTAGACACACCCAGGTAATCCCCAAACCCTGGACTGGTAGGGGATCCTGAGGACTAACGTTGAGAACCCCTGTACTATAGGAAGAAGGCAGGCCAGAGGAGTCAATGTTCTGTTAGGGGCAATGTACTGAAGGGAAATCTTGGGTCCTGGCATTCATGTGGATTTTATTTTGACACATACCGCCTACCTAGAGATTGTTGCAGACCATAAACCCCGATTTACGGTAATGGCCTCTTACAGCAGGATAACGGAATCTGCCACACTACAAAAATTAAGGACTAGTTTAAGGGGCATTACAAACGTTCAATGTGTTGCTTTGGCCTCCAAATTCCATGGATTTCATTACAATTGAGCATCTGTGGGATGTGCTGGAACAACAACTCCATTCCATGGAGGCCCCACCTCGAAACTTGCAGGACTTAAAGGATCTACTGCTAATGTCTTGGTGCCAGATAGCACAAACCATCCGGCTCTGATGCCTCGAGGCATAAATTCCACAAGACCTCTCAACATGTACATAGGTTGGGGCTGATAGTGTATCTTAATGTCTCTTCATCTATTGCAAAGTTTTCCTGTCCCATTCTCCATATTTCCTTTCCTAATTCTCAACATTAATCAGTAAACTCCTAATGGTCAAACTTAAGAAAATATAGCTAAATGGTGACTATAGGTGAACTGTTCCAGAACTGCTAAATTTGCATCTGTTTTTTTCCATTTGGGATTAATAGTTGAGTTGCAATGCAATACAAAAGGTGTAGTCTAAAATAAGATGATGTTGGTGTATGGTTGTGGCACTTGTAGTGCATCCATTGAAGACTAATATATGTACTGCAACTACCGCGCTGGGCCACGACCGTATAGCAATGGACTCATTGTAACTGTCCATCTCGGCCCTGACCTTATAGCAGGGGTTCCCAACCCAGTCCTCAAATATCCCCTAACAGTCCAGGATTTAGGGATTACCCAGATGTGTCCAAGAAAAAAAAGACACCGCAGGGTACTCATTGTAACTGTCTCTCTCTGCCCTGACCGTATAGTAATGGATTCATTGTAACTGTCCGTCTCGGCCTTGACCGTATAGTAATGGATACATTGTAACTGTCTCTCTCACTGCCCTGACCGTATGGTAATGGATTCATTGTAACTGTCCGTCTCTGCCCTGACCGTATAGTAATGGTTACATTGTAACTGTCTCTCTCTGTCTCGACCGTATAGTAATGGATACATTGTAACTGTCTCTCTCTGTCTCGACCGTATAGTAATGGTTACATTGTAACTGTCTCTCTCCCCTGACCGTACAGTAATGGATACATTGTAACTGTCCGTCTCTGCCCTGACCGTATAGTAATGGATTCATTGTAACTAACTCTCTCTCGGCACAATCTAATATATTGACAGTAACAGCCTCTGTAGATTTAGTAGTGAATTC